GCATAGATGAGAAAGAGCTGGGTCAGTTCTCTGCCCTCTGTGTTTAATCCGATGAGATTCATGGTTGTGCTGCTATCCCAGCATGGACTTTGTTTAGTCACAGAAGCTGTTAACATAATTCCAGAGATGTGCGGCCAGGGACTCTTGGGTCATCTGGTGAAAATGACGTCATCAGGAAATGAAAGTACTCCAATACGGAAAGCTCTAGAGAAAGTGTGTGCCGGGATGAGTCAGGGGGGAAAGAGAGAAAGAAAACAACACACTACATCAAAACATGAGACCAAAGACAAGCTGTGCATGTAGGCTCAAGGGAAACGGCTGTATTTGGGGGTCACATGGATATAGGACAAAGGTATTGCCCTTTCACCGACATATTCTTTCTGGAAAATTCTAAGGAAGCACAGCTTCTAATGTTGAGAATACCACGAACTTCAGAAAAAAACAATTTATAATGGGATGTTATTCTTACATTTGAGTACTTGGTCATCTAGATATGTATTTTTAAGACTTATACAAACCCCAGAGAAACTGGATAAATACCAAACTTTCATTTTCTATTATCTCTGAATTACATTTTAGTTTCCTTTTAGTGAGACAAAGGAGAGCAGTAGGAAGCATGCTTTGGAGTTCTGCAGACCTGTGTTCAAACCCTGAATCTACAGGGAGAGATGGTTCAGTTGAGAAAGTGCCTGGCACTCAAGCATGGGGACTTGAGTTCGAGTCTCAACATTCATGTAAAATCCTGGACACCACGGCACACATCTAGAATTTCAGACCTGGGGCGGCTGAGACCAGAAAATGTCTCTGGACCTCACTCACTGGCTAGCCAATCTAGCTAAATCAATTAGGTCAAGGTTAATTGAAAGAAATTAAAGAATTTCTTTAATTAAATTAAAGAATAAAGTGGAGAACAGCTGAGGAAGATGCATAAGCACACATGTGTGTTCACAGACCCATACAGAAAAGTACACACACACACACACATTCTCTCTCTCTCTCTCTCTCTCTCTCTCTCTCTCTCTCTCTCTCTCTCTCCTGGTGTTATCACTACTGGCATGACTTGGGGAAAATTGCTTAGTCTTTGGCCTTTTAATTTCTTTTTTTTTAATGAAATGGTTGTAATATTTCACAGGTTTGATGTGAGTTTGGTAAAAAGTAGACACCTAGGTAAATAACTTTTTTTTTAAAGACATGGTATTACCATGTAGCTTTAGCTAGCCCAGAACACACTGTATAGATCAGGCTGGCCTCAAACGAGGTGCACCTGCCTCTGCTTTCTGAGGGCAAGGAATAGTCTCTGGCTGTACCACCCTGCACGTGCCTGATCTTGTCTGAGTGCTAGGGATTAATCCCGCTGCGTTTTGGCTGTAGCATATCTCACACTTATTTAAAATGCCAATTTAAAGCAATTTTATTGAAAGAGTTGAGAAACAGACCTGGAAATATACAATTAATTGATTGTTTTTAAAAGATTTATTTACTTATACTTTTTAGTTACGTGTATTTTTGTATGTCTGTGTGTTGATGCCCACACAGCCCCGAAGAAGGTGTCAGAGTCTTCCAAGTGGGAGTCACAGATGGCTGGGAGCTGCCTGACTTGAGTGCTGGAAACCAAACTCAGGTCCTGAAACCACCATTCTCAAGAATTCATCTCAAGTTTTCTACAGTCTTTGTAGTTGTTTTATAAATTTAAACAACGATATATTTCCAGCTAATTTCATTTTAAGAGGGGAAGTATGAGTCATGGTGTGTATGTGTATGTATGTGTTTGTGTGCTGCACATGTGTGTGTAAGCGTGCTCACCACTGTGAGTATATAGCTAGGCCAGCGGCTGACATCCAGCTGTCTTCTTCCGTCACTCCCCACATTACCTTCTGAGACAGGATAGGAGCTTGCAAGCCCTAATCTTGAGTTCTGTTCCCAGGTTAGGGCAGGTTAGAAAGGAAGAGCAGCAATGGAAAGTCTGGAGAAAGACCATCTGAACACCAGGAAACAACCAGAAGCCTTTGGTAATGGGGGGTGGGGTGGGCACCCAACCATGACAGCAAACCACAAAAATTGAGCAATCATCTCTGCTCGAAGACAGTGCTCAGTTGAATTGTTTCCTCGAAAGACCCCTGCAGAGTTTGGGAGCTTCAGAGGTCACAGGGTCACCAACGGGCAGTCTGTGGGTTCATGGGTCTTTCTTAGAATCTCCAACGTCTGTGACAGTCCCTGCTCTGGATTCGACCCTCCCTCTGTTTCTAGTTTCTTAGTCCTTTGGCCTTCTTTCTGTATTTGTTCCAGAAGCCAGGGCCTTTCTTGGCTTTAGTGCCTTGGGGCTGTAGGCTCAGGCCTGGGATTAATTTTGTTGGCTCCTAAGCCTCTGCTTGTCTTTCCCACACCTGGTTGTGTAGCTCCCGCTCCTTAAACCTGGTGACACATTTTCCTACCTTGTCTTGTCCAGTTTGTAGTGCCTGGAAACCCCTCCCCCACCCAGTGATGACTAGTCTCATCCATCCTGAGGTCCATGAGCAATAATACTACAGCAAGTACCAACAGGAATGTGTCTCATGGGTCTTTCCTACTCTAACCTTCAGATAAGCCACCACGGGCACATAGGGCTGAACGTCTGACAGCCCTTATGTGGAGGATGGGTGGAAAAGGCCAGGTCTGTCATGTAGCTGAGGAGTTTAGAACGGGCAGAGTACATATCACACTGTACTGATATGAGCAGAATGTCATTGCATGAGTGACCTTGGCGTCAGGATCAGCAGCAGGTAAGACCTCAGCATGTGGGTGCACCCCTCGCGGTCCTGAGTTCCTTGCTCGTGATCTCTCTCCTTCTGCTCCTGATTTGGGAGAATGGGGATATTCTATCGGGAACTCACCAAGGCCAGCTGGCCTGGGTTTGAAAAAGCCTGGGCTAAAACCGGACTCGCTGAACATAGCGGACAATGAGGACTACTGAGAACCCAAGAACAATGGCAATGGGTTTTTGATCCTACTGCACGTACTGGCTTTGTGGGAGCCTAGGCAGTTTGGATGCTCACCTTACTAGACCTGGATGGAGGTGGGTGGTCCTTGGACTTCCCACAGGTCAGGGAACCCTGATTGCTCTTTGAGCTGACGAGGGAGGGGGACTTGATTGGGGGAAGGGGAGGGAAATGGGAGGTGGTGGCGGGGAAGAGATAGAAATCTTTAATAAATTAATTAATTAATTAAAAAAACAGAAAAAAAAGACCTCAGTGCCAGCTGGGGAGTTTTGGGGTAACCACAGGACAAAGCATCAGATGAGTAGTCTGGGACCATGGACTCTTGGCTCAACTCTTTTCTCAGGATGCCTGTCAGAATTCACGCCTGGCACAAAGCCAGACTTACAATGACAGTTCTGGCACAAGGGCCATATGTGCGCTACCTAGTCAGAGGAAGGTTTCCATGTTTCTTCTCAGCTTCAACTCCGTGACAGTAGACCCATCTGGGATGCTCTGTTTAGGGTTGGCTTGTATGCCAGTCCCACTGCAGCTCCTAGATCGGAGGCTGCTGGAGGTGAAGGCCAGGTTACTGCCAGTTTGCTTGGATTTAGAATGACAACCTTCTAGAGTAACATCTCAGGGAGCAAGTGACTTGGCGACCAAGTCCTTGGTGACTCTTCCCATGTCACTCACAAGGCGCCCACCTAGGTATTTAGAACTTGAATCTTGCTTGGAGGCTCACTAAGAGAATACCTGCTTCTTTCATGACCTGCCTGAGATACACGAGAGGCATGGCCTTATAGGACTCTTTTTTTTTTATTGAAAAAAAAAATTTCTGCCTCCTCCCAGCCTCCCATTTCCCTCCCCTTCCTCCCACTCCTCTCCCCTTCCCCCCCTTCTCTCCCCCTCCCTCTCAGCAGTCCAAAGAGCAGCCAGGGTTCCCTGCCCTGTGGAAAGTCCAAAGTCCTCCCCCCTCCATCCAGGTTTAGGAAGATGAGCATCCAAACTGGCTAGGCTCCCACAAAGCCAGAACATGAAGTAGGATCAAAACCCAGTGCCATTGTCCTTGGCTTCTCATCCCCAGTTAGGTCTTTGGGCAGCTGAGGGTAAGGTACCTGAACTGGCCCTATCCTATAGCCATACTGATGAATATCTTGCATATCACCATAGAACCTTGTAGGACTCTTAACGGCTCTCACCGCCACTTTTCCACCTCACACAGATCACTGAAAAGAGAAACCGGAAGATTTTTGTTTTCCAGAGGAGTTTATCTTTGTAGCCCAGGCTGACATGGAATCATAGTTCCCTTGCTTCAACCTCTCAACCACTGGATCCCTGGGTAGAATCTGGGAGTTTCCCAAAGAGACTATAGAGAATGTATTTGTAGGCTTGGTGTGAGGCAGGTAGAATCTCTGTGCTTTTAAAGGGCTAACCTGTGCTAGCCAACCTTGTCTTTTTAGAGTGGTTCAGAGGAAAAGAACTTAAAATAGGGTTCTTAGAATTCTGCTTGCTGAACAGCCCTGTCCCTCACTAGCCAACAATTTTACCACACCAGTCCGAGGCAGGGGCTAAGGAAAGGTTTATCAATTAGTAGAAGAATTTAAAATGGAAGCCGTTATCCCTTCACTAAAAATTCTGCATTTGCTGCCAGCTGTCTTTGATTCTAATGACAGGGTTGGATTTCCTGTGAAAACCTATAGATGACAGAATGGCTACTTCCTGCAAGGGAAATGAAACATAAACTCCTCCTCCTTAGTGGCAGTCAGCATTGGGGTAACATTTCAAACACAGCACACTCTTTCTCCTCTTTCGCACATAGCTCTGGCCACCTGAATCTTCTTGTTCTGAGCAGAGGTGGGAGGAGCAAGCAGCTCCTACTCCCCCCCTTCTCATCCCAGCTGCAAAGTTCAGGGAGTTGAAGTGCAGTGCTTTGAGTTCACTGCTGGCTCCGCCACAGTCAACCCCTGTTGTAAATTTTCCTCCCAGAACACGTGACGATGCATTTCTTGACTATATATCCCGAGGACAGCAACGGGGCTGTCAGAGCGCGGAGCCTGACACAGAAGGAAAAGGTTCTCGGATTCAGCCGTGTAGGAGTTCCACACTTGGGACGAACTGTCAGCCTTTGGTAAGTGAGCGAGCCTCCTTCTCTTCGGAGACACGCGAGAGAAATAGTTTTAACTATTAATAGAGAAAGTTTTCTTGCTTTTTTTTTTGTTCTTCTAAAGAATCTTAACTTTGGATTTGAGAAAGCGGAAGCTTTTGAAACAAAATGCAAAGTTTGCTTTTGCTTTGCCAGTAAAAGTATGCCTTTGAAATGTTAAGATAATATTTTTTCTATGAATTCCTAGACAGTATGTAATATTTAAAGTTCAGAACTAATGCACGGTTATTTTCCAAAATGCAAATAGAGGCAATCTATCTATCTATCTATCTATCTATCTATCTATCTATCTATTTATCTATCTATCTATCTATCTATCCATCATCTATTAACTATCTTTCTATCTGGTGAAAGTTTTTCTCTCTTATTCCATTTCCTCCCTTGTTTTCTTACTTGTTCCAAGCCTTCAGCGCTAACCCCTGTTAACTGTTTGACAGGATGCCTTACGTTCTGCTATTTCTTTCATTCCTATTCTTGATGACCTCTTCGATCTATTGCAACTTCACGAGCCATGTGCTTGCCTTCTGCCTGTCCTGTGAATCCACGAGGAAGGTCTAACTTGCAGCTTTCTCCCCAGATCCCCACTGTGCGAGCGGCGTTTCAATGCTGAGGATGGAGTCTCTGAACAGCACACACCCCAGCACTGCAGCCTCCAGCAGTCCCCTCGAGTCCCGTGTGCCTAGTAACAGCAGTGGCAATGGCAATGAATACTTCTATATCCTGGTCGTTATGTCCTTCTATGGCATTTTCTTGATCGGAATCATGCTGGGCTACATGAAATCCAAGAGGCGGGAGAAGAAGTCCAGCCTCTTGCTGCTGTACAAAGACGAGGAAAGGCTGTGGGGGGAGGCTATGAAGCCGCTGCCCATGATGTCTGGCCTGAGGTCGACACAGGTGCCCGTGATGCTGAATATGCTGCAAGAGAGCGTGGCGCCTGCGCTGTCCTGCACCCTCTGCTCAATGGAAGGGGACAGTGTGAGCTCCGAGTCCTCCTCTCCAGATGTGCACCTCACTATCCAGGAGGAAGGGGCTGATGATGAGTTGGAGGAGACCTCTGAGACACCTCTCAATGAAAGCAGTGAAGGGTCTTCAGAAAACATCCATCAGAATTCCTAGCACCCCCCAGGACCCTGGAGGTGGCTCCGTGAGCCACACTTGACAGAGGAGAGATATTTACCAAGTGCCTGGTTTCACTTTTGCTCTGCAGCTGCCACTTTGAGCAGACTGTGGGCAAGCCCCCAAAAAGGGGGAGGGAGAGACAAGGCTCATCTGGAGTCCTCAAGGTTCCTGTGGTTCGGACCCACCACTGAAAAAGTCCCAGAGACACACAGCATGACCATTTACTCTGGGGTCTGGGTGTTGGGGGTCCCTGTTCAGCATCTGGCTGGATAACGTGTTGTTATTTTCACTGGATGCCCTGGGTAACTTCTGCAGCTTCTGTCTGTGCCCAGGGCTGACAACTGCCCAGGGCAGGCTGAAGGACTACTTTTGATTTGTTAATTTGCCTAGAGCTTTGTTCTTCTAGATCTAATCGGCTGTAAGTATCTTTATTGTGTGCCTGTGGCACTTGGTCACAGAGAGTTACACATTTCTTTGGGAGGTCTTTTAGATTATGAAGGGGAATACTTGACGGGCAATTTGCGATATGGAAAAAGCTGGAGGTAGAACCCAGCTTGTTTGCACAATGCAAGGAGAGAAAGCAATGTGTACATATGTCCGCGTTAGCGGAGGGTATAAGCTATGACCTATTTTGAGCTTTTGTCTCACCTGTGAGCTTGAACTCTGACTTGTGACTGTACAGCATTGCAGGTGAGCATGGCTTTCTTTGTCAGCGAGCTTCCTCAGAATCAAGCCCCCATTCAGGATAGCTGTTCAGGGTGGCACTCCTGACCTTCACAGATTGGGTAATGGTAGGGTTATATGAGGCAAAGGCATTGATAGCTCTGCTATGGCTCTTTTTCCCAGCCTAGTTTTCCGAAGCCAGAGAGGACATGTGTGGGCCTCGCAATGTGGGATTTTGTCACGAAGCTGAGACCTAGAAGTACATATTCAGGAGAGGTTGCACAGAGCTGAGGTCCAAACACTGTGTTTCCTGAACTGAGCTCTGACGCTCATTTACTGTGTGGTCCTGGGCTTGTCATCATAAGGTTCATTGCCTTCATGAGGCTCCCGAGGCTGTGCAGCCCCAGGGGGCTGGGAGGACTTCTTTAGACTTTGTACTGTGTGATAAATCCTCCAAGGCCTGGGGTGAGGAAGTTTGGACCAAGTATTTTCCCTTTGGCCGCTTAGTCTAGAGAAGGATGTGTTGACTTAAAGGCGCAGTTGGAGACTAGATGGTGTAATTGGGAATTTGGGGCTCATCAGCCGCCATCCCTACTGTAGCTTTCCCAGGACGGGACCGAAGAAGCAGACAGCTCAGTTTCCTCTGCAGAGTTCTGTAGAAGGGAGGATGTTAAAGTTCCCAGCTGAGGGAAAGAGAAGGCTAAACGGAGCTTCACAGAGCCACTTGCCAGTGCTCCATGTCATCCTGTGGTCCAGAACTTGCAGAAGGTCTTTTGCCCACCGAAGACCTTCGAAAGGAAGCAGAAAAAAAAAAAAAACCCAAATGCCAAGCTTGACTCTAATGAAAAACCTTTTTAATTTTTATTTATCCTAGCTCTCCCTGGGTTGGAGACAAAGCAGTTACTACTGTCCCTGTGAGGGACTAACAATTTAGGAGCTGGTTTTTCAATCAGTTTTTGATACAGAGTTAGAGGTAATTTGCATCGGAGAGGGGAAGGGGCCCTCTGTTCACATTAAGATTCAGAATGTGGATCAACTCCAAAGGGGGCTCTTTAAGTAGAAAGAAGCCAAGTTAAGTTTGGCCTCTTGCCTGGAATCACTTGAATTCTGAAACTTTACTGCGACAGACATGTGCGTTGTCACATTTTCCATTGCTTAATCCCGGTTTGGTGCAAGTCTGTCTCTGCCTATTACAAAGTGATGTATATACTTCCTTCTCATACATTGAGCTGTAGACAGTTCTCTTTTGTATTTAATGGTTTGTAATTTTCACAAAACTTTTTAATTTAAATAAACACATTTTCCCGAGAAGTCGTACTTCTTTGATCCTTCAATCGACACATAAATTTCTAGTTTTTATGCTAATGCAAGGCATGACTGGATTCTGCTCGCCTCCAGGGTCAGGCTCCCACAAAGCCATGTCTTTGGCCCCCACACAGTGAGCATGTAGGGTCATTTTTATCATTTGGTCCACTTTGCATGGTTTGGAAAACGAGCCAAGGATGGTCTTACATCACCTTCTGCAAAGGCCTGGGAGCTTTTGGACTTGCATGTGAGCGGCGTGGCAAGTGCTGCTAAGATGTCTCTCCAAATTTGGTTGCAAGAAAACATTTGATTTGCACCCTGACTTGGCAAACGTCATCCACATGTGTGGCCCCAGCAGCCTGGGCTTAACGGGTAGGGTGTTGCCATATGAACAGACTTATGAACGCAATCAAACGCAATGTCCGCAGCTGGGGTCTGTTTCAGATTCCTCCACAGTGAGAATGGTTTCTACGTCTCTCCCTCTTAGTCTTGTGGTGTCTGTGTCTCACAGGCTGAGCCATAGCCAGCCTGTGCAGCATCTCCTTTCTTAGTTCATTTTCACAGCCAGAAGTGCTGAGGAAAAAGGACCAAAACCTATCACCCAATTTCAAACCAAGCAGACAAGGGGAATAAAAATTCTCCTTAAATCAATGTGTATCTGTTTCTCGTGAGTTTCGCCTGTCTTTTCTATTTCAAATAAATGTTTCCATAGGTTTGCAAATAATTGCCCAAGAAAGATTGTTCTGGCAATGGAGCACGGGAGCCTGGATCCTTCTGGAATAATACAGCAATGGCCTCAATCCACCATCCAGTATCATTGAAAAGCAGCATGGAAAGAATATATTAAAGATAAGGAAGCTCTCTTTTCCGTCTTCCTCTCGGAGAGGCAGCTTTGCTTCTGCCTCTCTCCCCACTTCTCTGCTTCTCCCCTTCTCTGTCTTCCTCCTCCTCCTCCTCCTCCTTCTTCTTCTCTCTCTCTCTCTCCCCTTCCCCTTTACCCTTCCTCCTCCATAACCCCCTGAATAAACATTCAACCTCAAAAAAAAAAATAAAGATAAGGAAAACCTTTACCTCGGTTTCTATTCATCCTTGGTGAGGAAATAGTTAAGGAAACATTTTGTTGTGATGGGCGGAAGAAGAGGGAATTCTAAACTCTAATTGTCCTAAAAATATGCAGAGGACACTGTGTCATTTTAATGGAATATTTGTTTTCCTTAAAAGAAAAAAAAAAGAACTTCTAAGCAGAACCTAAGGCCCAAGGGGTTTGGTCTGTGTGGATTTACTCATGCCTGTGAAAAACTGCGAAGGGAACTTGGCCCTGTGCACCTCAGATATTAGAAACATATTTCAAAAGCACGTGAATGGTGCAGGATGAGGTAAACAGGCCATCCTGCTGGCTCCATGCTGTTCTGATTACACCTTTGTGTATATCAGAGTTACATTGAGATACTGCAAAGGAAGCGACAGAATCGTGGGATCAAAATTCCCAGGGAGGGCAGAAGTTGAGTCAAGGCTTGCGTGCTTTCGGCTCCGGATCCTGGTCGGAAAGCAGACTGTCTGGTGCTTTTGGAGGTTGTGATATGAGGGTTTGTGGGAAGACATGCTTATTCATGGTTCACGTGGAGAAAGGTCATGTGTCATCCAGTAAAACGTAGCTCTAACCTGAAATGTGGTAGGCAGAATATTGATTTTATAATGCATTTTGAACTCCACACTTAATTTTTAAGTTCCATACTCAAAAGTCAGGGCTCAGCGCTGAAGAAAACTCTAGGGTACACTGAGGAGGCAGAGACTGGGGCTGGGGCAGACGTTCAGGCAGCCGCAGCAAGGCGGTGGACAGCGCCTCAGGCTAGGGCTGGACTACAGGAGGACCATGTGTTGAGGAGGCTGGTAGACGCCCAGCTTTGTCGGGTCCGCTTTCTAGTTTAACTCGGCTACTGCGCGCTCTGGAGCTTCGGGGAAGCTCTCCACCCTTTCTGACTTCTCTCTTTCAACGTGACGATAACACGCTGGGCCTGCTCTTTGGTGAGCTGGTCATGAAAGGAATAGCGAGTGGCTGGGGAACACCCAGCGCGTGTGAAACCAAAGCCAATGCAGCTTCCATCTTCCTTTAAAACTGTCCCGGGCATGCATCTGCAAATAGGGTCACGGAAACATCCTCTTCTGGGGATGCTTTTCTCAGGAGACTGCAATACTCAGAAGAAGGAGACAATTTGCCAAAGGAGAAGGGTCAGGAGAGAGAAAAACCAGTGTTAAATCCTGCTTTCCCCTCTCTCTCTCCTACACAGGAAGGAACAGTTTGGGTTGTGCATTGTTACCATGGAAACAAGCATCCAAGGTCACTTGACTGAAGGAGCTTGAGGCCCATTGGTGCTGGATCATTCTAGTTGGTTTTTGAAGTTGAAGCTCGGCCTTTGCCTCAGGAGATGAGCTTGAGACTGCCCGTTGCAGGTCATGGTCAAAGAAGGGGGGCAGGGATGGTGTTCCCCCTTTTCCTCCACTATCCAGGCCTTTCTTTTTGCACTGTCTGTGCACTCCTTGCGGTCATGGGGCTGAGATCTTGCTCTCTCATCCCTGGGAATTTTCTTATTTTGCTGTGAAATATGATCAAATGATTCTTCACATTAGCAACCACGCCCTTATTTCTCTTGAGTTTCAGTCTTTTCTAGCACTGTTCCTCCCCCTCCCCTTTCCTCCTCTCCTGTCCCCTCACTCCTCCTCCTCTCCCTTCTTCCCTCTTTTCCTCTCTTGCTTCTTGTCATCACCCAAAAGAAACAAAGGTGACCGTACCTACAGTGCATGGTATTGGAGCCCATGACGCCCCTTCAGCAAGTATGCTGCAGTGCACACACTCGGTCTAGTCAATAGAACTGTACTCTGAGCTTCTGTGCAGTTCCAGGCACTATATCAGGTGCTGGGAAAATGCCACCCCCTGCCTGACCTCCAAGGAGGTCATAGTTCCTATATTGATGACTTCTAATGCAATCAACTCTGCTTTGGATGAATTCATAAAACTTAAAGGGAATTTCTACAGGCAGGGGCTGGCCCTAGGGTATTAAAGATACATGGTTTGTATCTTTGAACAGTCTTGCCCACACTGGGATGGAGTTAAGTGAATGAAATGGATGTAGTGGTCAATTACCTTTTGCTCTGTGATGGGCACTTTCACGTTGATTATATCTGTCAATCTTCCCAAGGACTGACTGTCAGCTAGGCCTTTATTGTTTTCATTTTATCTATTTTATGTGTGTTGGGAGTATATATGCGACAATGTGTGCATATGTGTGTGTGTGTGCATACATGTGAGTGTGCATAGGTCAGAGGACAACCTTTGAAGTTGTTCTCTCCTTCCATCCCATGGGTACCAAGGATCAAATACAGGTTGTTAGGCTTTGGGGTAGGTGCCTTTAACAACTGAGCCATCTCACATTAGAGGCTTGTGCTGGCTTGTCTTATGTTAAATTGGCACACCCTGGAGGTTCTTTTAGAAAGAGAACCTCAGTTGAGAAAATTCCCTCACCAGATTGACCTATGGGCAAGCCTATGGTGCATTGTCATAATTGATAATGTGAAGAGGGCCCAGGTCACTGAAGGAGTGTCTCTTCTGGACTGATGAGCCTGCATGGTATAAGAAAGCAAGTTGAGCAAGCCACAGTGAATAACCTTGTAATCAGTACCTTTCCATGGTCTCTGCATCAGTTCCTGCCTCCAGGTTCTGCCTTGAGTTTCTACCCTTACTTCTCTTGATGATGAACTACAAGCTATAAAATAAAATAACCCCCTTTACTCCCCTCAAGTTGCTTTTTGTCATGGTGTTTTATGACAGCAATAGAAAGCGGACTGGACAAGATTCAAGGAGATCCCATGCTTGTCAGTTTAATGAAGGACAGATGTAAGTCTTCTGATAGGAAAACCCAAAATTCTTTTAGCCATTAGCAAGCAGAGAGCAAGAGACACAGAATCAAGTCCCACCATAGACAGTAGGGAGTTCTGTGACGTCACATATCTTGGTCAACTTCATTGAACACATTTTCGCACTGATAAATTAAATATGGCAGCATCTTCTCTACCTTCAGAACACTGTCAGGACTCTGTATAAAGCATTTGGAAAAATGAAGTTTTTCACTGATGGGGAATCACTAATATCCACTGTGCAGATATGATGAGAATTTACTGGCATTCACTTCTTCTCTCTTAGAACATGAAGATTCATCTCTCCTCCCTCCTCTTATCTCCCCTCCTTTCCTACCAGGGTTTCTGGATAATTGGAAGAGTAGAAACGGCATGCTACCTGTGAGCAGAGTCATTGAAAAGCCACCCTTTC